TTTCTTGTTTCCCCTTCTTTACCACGCCTTCCCTTCCCTATTTGTCCTTCTTTTTGCTTCTGTACTTTTGTGTATGTTATAGTTCCCCAACCTTTCTGGGTTGGTGGGGGAGAAGGGGATGATTTTGTGTGGGGGGGGGGACGGGACGGACAGGCATGTGTTTGCAATGCTCACTCGAGTGGGGCCACAAGCCTCCACAATGTGCAAATGGGGTTGTGTGTGCACCACATGCATACACCAGCCAACCACTCATAAGGCCCGGTTGTGAATAGGCCATAGACCGGTAGTGGGCCACAGCTCACATGTGTAGGGAACCCTGTGTTATAGCATAAATTAATAAAATTGTTATAAACAAAGAAATCTAATTTGTAACAAGACCATAACCAGCTGCAGATCAGAGCACAAATTGATGCTGATATTAGATGAACAGAACAAGGCATTTCAGATACCTTCCTAAAACAAATTCAAGACAGGCCAGGAAGCCTCCAAAACAGTGGTTCTCAATGTTTTCTTTACCATGGACCCCCTTTAAATACCTTTTGTGGCCACAGACCTCCCAAGACTTAAGATTTAAATTGTAACACTTCAAAAGCCTCTGTGGACCCTGAGACGACATGGCGGCCCACAGGTTGAGAACCACTGCTCCAAAATATTGTAAGCAGAAGGAATCAATCTGTTCATTTCTGCATCTTTCACAGAACCTTTTCAACAGATACCATTGAATTTCAGCTGCCAATGCATGTGTTCTCTCCTGTCAACCCACCTTTCTTTCCTTGAACTTTTTCTCTTCCCCACTGGGAAAAACGGTGCCTGAAGGCCACCCAAAAGAGAGCCAAGCCACCTGCCACAGCAATGCCACAAATGTTATTTTGAATAAGAGAGATTGCTATCATTTTCAAGGTGCTATATAAGTGTGTGGGAGTGTCAAAAAAGCTTATTTCAATTTCCAAGGGCAAACCCTTTACATTCCTCCTTCCACTAAGTCTCAAGGCTGCTCATCCTTCTTTCTAAGGTAAGAATATAACCGGATAACTGTTATGGAACTCTGCCCTAGATATTATCAGCAACTGTACATTTTACTCTGATGGTTTTTTTCCACTCTGTGTTACCCATGAAAGGATTCAGTCGCTACTTATTCTAAAATAAAGGGAAATTTACTGGAATGCAAGTGGGAAATTCATCTTTCCATCTCCTAACAATTTAACCAAGCAATTTAAAAAACAAAAACCATGACAATATCTAGCAATGAAGACAATACATATTGGAAAGTATAGCAAAAGATACTCATTTTTTTCATGTATTTAATAATGAGAGCTCTGAAAGTACATACTGTACATTCTACTGAAAAAGCAAAGCAAACACTACAATTGGGTTTTAAAATTTTCCAATGGGCAAGCAGGGGAACACAAATTTTTTTAACTTACAGGCTCATAAACACCATGTAAATTGTGGAAAACTGACAAAAATACGATGTGGATTATTGAAATCAGCCACCTGTAGTTCTCTGCATATAGTAAGGCTCCCTACAGACACAAGAAGCCTTTTGAAATGCCAGGGCATCCATTATAGCTTTATCCAAAGAGGGCATTACATTCAGATTTATTTGACTTAAAACTCCAAAATGCAAAGGAGTTTCTCTTCCTATTTTCATGCTGCAAACACTCATGGTTATTTTATACTTTGCAAAATTCCAAACTGCCAAATTTTAAGGTCTGGGAAAATAATAATAAAAGCAAGTACACTCTAAAACACATTAACAGCCTTGAGATCCAATAGATCAAAAATATTTCTAACACTTCTGGAAAAAAAAAGCTGGAAACTCATAAACCGCCAATACTTACTAAAATTTCATCTTGCTACCTCCCTTCCCCCAAGAACTTTTTTCTCCAACTTCCAGGTTAAGAATGAGATCCGAAAACCAAAACAACTGATTTTATAAGCCAGTATTATAACACAATCATCCAAGCCCAGAGATGATGATGATGATGATGATGATTATTATAAAGTGTCCAAATTACTGCCCTCGGCTCATGGAACTTATTTTACTAGAGCAAATCCACACTTCTTTGTTTACTATGCTTTGTTTGAGGAAGTCACACATGCATTCAAGCCCAGATAATCTCACACCACAAGCTTTTTCTAACAAGACACTGTATTCTAGATTTCTAAAAGCAAGCAAACAGGGTTGAAGCCAATTTCATTTTCCTGCCCTAAGCAATTGTTAAGCTTACTGAAGAGTCCACTTCACTCATTATCCAAGTAAAAAACAAGAATGACATAAATACAGTTTCACGGGCTCTGCAAAGATGACACCTAACCACAGTTCTGGGCATAAGCACAGCAGAATCAGGGCAAATTTTACTTTGTTAAGATCTCAAATTCTCTGGAAATAAATGTCTATGGAGATTCCCAGTCATCCAGGTCATGGTTGTCTCAAAGGTGGTTTTTAAAAAGGCAACTGGATTATGAGTTTTTTTTTTTCCTCGAGGAAGTTTTATCAGGAAATATATTCATCTGGAAACAAAGGTCTATTAAGCAAAATGTACTCACTTTGAGCAAACTTGCAACCGAAGACCTTAAGCAAAGCCCAGGCCAAGGAACAACTGTTCAGTAAGGCAAGGCCATGCTGAATAACCATTTCAGAATAGTCCAGGGTAGTGGTTCTTAACCTGTGGTCCATGGAACCCTGGGGGACCATGTCATCACAGAAGGAGTGGAAAACCTTGAACAAATGTTATGATTTAAATCTTGTGTTAAGTCTTAGAGTCTGTGGCCACAAAATGTATGTATAGGGGGTCCGTGGTGGAAAGTTTGGGAACCACTGGTCTAGGGCAATGTTTCTCTATTTCAGTGACTTTAAGATGGGTGACTTCAACTCCCAGAATTTCCCAGCCAGCACATACACATATATACATACACATACATATATATGTATCCACCCATCATAAAGATGCCACGGTTGAAAAACACTGGTCTAAGGTCCCCTGTCTGAGCAGCAGGTTGGACTAGAAGACCTCCAAGGTCCCTTCCACCGCTATCATTCATTCTGAATTTTCCTCCTGTTTTAGCATCTCTCTCTCCCCCAGCAGATTTCTATCCCATTTTCCCCAACCATCAGCCTCAAAAGGGCCGTGGCTTCTTCCTTATCCCATTGTTTCTCAACGATAGCCCCCTGAAAAATAGATGGACTTCAACTCCCAGAATTCCCCCTATACAAGGAAGTCCACCCATTTTCAAGGGGCTATGGTTGAGAAACGCTGCCTTAGCCAATGGGGCCCCCAATGATGGCACCTACCTCTCCTTCCTCACTCCCGCAGTATCCTGGAGAGCCCTGGAGGCCTGCCTCACCCCAACTATAAAGGCAACGAACCAACACACCTGTGGGTAGAAAAGCAGCGCCACATGGATCAGGGAACCTTCCCCGCCATGTTCCTCGTCCAAAGGCTCCCTCTCGTCATCTACCTACACCACACCTCCAGCTGCGCCCCTCCCTCCCACCGGTCCTTCCCCCCCCCCAAAAAAAACACACTTCCGGGAATGGCCTAACCTAAAACGTCCCCCACGAGCCATGGCACATCCCTCGCCCCGAAGCCACGCCCCTTTCGCCCGCTGCCTCTTCTCCCCCCCATTTTCGGAGCCCGCGTGGGAATTCTAAGCCCCCCTCCCGTTTGACGTCACCGCCCGCGGCGTGACGTCACCACCTCTACCCGTTCGACGCCATGACCGCCTCAAACCGGGTTGTTTTGGGGTTATTTTTCGTCCTCACTCACCCACCTCCCCCTCCCCTTTGGCCGGTAGACCCGGCGGTTTTTTCCCGTCCAGTCGGCCTCCGAAGCGCTTCGGTCCCCTCCTCAGACGCGGCCGCAAACAAGCAGGAACAGCAGCGATTCTAAGATGGCGTCGGACTCTGCTTCCCTCCCGGATCGTACCCCTCCTTTCTCCTTCGGCTCGCGGTGGGGAGGGGCGGTGCAGCACGCGTGCGCAGGAGCGTCGGTCCCGCAGATTGGCTGAAAGCGTGAGGAGGAAAGATGAAGCGTGTCAAAAAACGGGGTGGGTCCTGATGGGAAGAGCCGCACGGCGATTGGGTGATTTCCGTCGGGGAGGCGGCCTTCTGCAGGGACGTTCCCGCTGATTCGCTAAGGGACTCAGAAAAGCGTATTGAGGTAGGTTTTTTTTTTTTTGCTTTACTTCCCTCGCACGCAAGAGAACCAATGGTGCTGAAAGGGTTTCCTAGTAGCCAATTGGACTGGGGGGAAAATAAATAAACTGTTTATTGGCTGCATGAGCGGAAAAAACGTCAAAGTGTATGGAGTATAGCAAATATCATTGGGCTACGGCGCAGGGCGGGGGGGCAGAATGGAACGAAAGCGTCCTCCCCTCCGAGGCCTGCCCTGATTGGATAAGCCCTTCACGTTACAAACAAAGCCCCTGATTGGTGCTTTAGTCGCCGAGTCCATAGGGGAAGCCACTTTCTGGAAAGGTCAAAGGCTGTGAAGCTTCTGGACCAAAGGAAAAAGGAGGAGGAGCCACGCAGTTACCACGGCAACAGCGGCCTAGTCTCCGGCCTGAGGCCTAGCGAGTTGTTCGCCTCGCCCAGCAAAGAGCCACAATAGGCGGTCTTTGTCTCACCAACTGGAGTGGCGGGACAAAGGCTGCCTATTGTGGCTACGACTTATTAAGCCTGGGCCCAATTCCTGAGGGAGACCGTTATTTGATGAAAGAAAGATGGCTGCCAACAGGGCTGCCTCAGTTAATCCTGGTTCAAATTGGGAGCCGTGATTCCTCATGTAACCAGCCCACCCCTTAGGCTTTTAGGGATGATGAAAGTAAAACCACCCCCTTCTTTGTGCCCAGGATACAGTTCAAGGACATCTTTAAACAATGACAGCAAGCCTGCTTAATTTCAGGCTAGTTAACAGCCTTGACTGCCCCCATTTGCACCTTCTGGATACTCAAGGGAAGCCCCCACATACTGTCCACTGCAGTAGTCAAACTGCAGGGCAACTACTGAAAGGACTCAAAGATTGGAATTAGGAAAGTTTTTTAAAAGTCTAAAGAGATTCTTCAGGTTGTCCCAAAGGTGCTTTTTACAGGAAGCAACTGGACTTTTTTCTTTCTTTCTTATTTTGTTTCGCTTCTCATCCAAGAATCTTCTTCAGCTCTCCTCACACTCCAGTCAGAGCTGAAGAAGCTTCTTGGATGAGAAGTGAAACTTCAAAGAAAAAATGAGAAAGTCTAGTTGCCTCCTGAAAAAGCACCTTTGGGACAACCCTGATCTGGATGGTTGAGAATCTCTACAGATTTTTACTGAAAGGACTCAAGATTGGAATTAGGAAAGTTTGTTAAACTTTCATTGTCATTGCTTTTCTAAAAAAAAAAAAAAAAAAAAGTCTTGGGACAATAAAGTACTTGGGAGCCTCATTTTATATTTAGGCCAAACTCTTAGAATGATGTGCTTAACAAAAAAATGGTTCTAGGTGTTGCATTCACCTGATCTTGATTATACCAAAAAATATTATCCATTCATGGCCCTCCAAATAGAATAGCCTCTTTTTCGTCAAGGTCATCCGGTCCTTCATCCAAACCAGACAAAAAGCCATCAAAGTATAATTTTAAATCTGGTAGGTAGTTCAAATCTTCCTTTCTCTCTTTTTTCATCCCATAATAACTTATGAAAGACTCAGGTTGGAATTCGGAACGTTTGTTAAAGGAATTGCTGACAACAGAAAGTTGCAGCTGCAATGAGTGTGACAAATGGTGGGACACGACTTCTTAAGCAACAAGAAAGTGACAAGTCAGAACGACACGCTGGAAGGATGCTATATATAGATATATAAACTTTGATAACTTCTAGCTTATTATAGTAGTAAAAGATGCACTTCTTTTGATAACAAAGCTTGTTAACATAAACGTGATGTATGAAGGGAGAGTAAAGTAGAAGAATCCAATTTTAAAAAAAGTGTTGGAAAGAACCAATGTGTGATTGTTAGGGTTTTAACTTCCTTAATCATAACTCTATAAAATTTGTGCTTGTGTATCATTCGAGGTCTTGGCTTCTTTACCTGCTGAGACCCTTTTGCTGGAGTACTCCAATAAAAGAAGCTGGAAAAGCCATTCCTCGTGTCTTGTATTGGCTTTGGTGCCAGGCTAGGACCCATTTTGGGTATAACATACTTGCAGGACGTAAGTAGTTAACAGTAGTTCGTTTAATGACTGTTCAAAGTTACAATGTTACTGAAAAAAGTGATTTACGATCGCTTTTCAGAGTTACGACCATTGCAGCATCCTCATAGTCATGGTATCAAAATTCAGACCTTTGGCAGCTGGGTCATATTTATGACAGTGGCAGGGTCCTGGGATGATGGACACATTTTGTGACCTTTTGACAAGCAAAGTCAATGGGGTATCCAGATTCATTTAACAACCAGGTTAATAACTTACCAACTGCAGTGATTCACTTAAAATTGTGGCACGAAAAATCATAAAACGGGGCATGTCTCACTTAACCAATGTTTCACTTAACACCACAAAATTTTGAGCTCAATTTTGGTTGTAAATTGAGGACTGCCTGTAAGTATTTCTCTGAACATGAGGTTTCTGATAATGGAATGTATGGATAGTCTTGAATGTTACAACCATAGTTGGGACTGGGACTTAGGTTGCTAAGTAATGCAGTCATTGAGTTGTATCAAGTTCCTTTTGTGGCACGTCATTAAGCGAGTCCAGCAGGGGTGGGATTCAGTTTTTTTTAATAACCATTCTGTGGGCATGGCTTAGTTGATAGGTGTGGCTTAGTGCTCATGTGACTGGGTGGGCTTGGCCAACTCGACATCACTCATGTCAAGGGGCACTTCTCGCCTGGCCTCTCATGACAGTGGGGATGCTGCAACAGTCATAAGTGTGAAAAATGGTCATGTCACTTTTTTCAGTGCCATTGTAACTTTGAATGGTCACTAAATGAATTGTAAGTCAAGGATTACCTATACAAAAATACAAAAAGCTTCTTTCCTTGCCCTAAATACCAATCATTAGATTAAAAATACCTACAAGCCAAAGTTACAAATCAGGCAGGGTGCCAGAGCACATTGAGGAATGAAAATAGTTAAAATGCAGTGATAACTATCAAGCAGCCATTTCTTGCTCATAAAGTGAAACCCTTTAGCAGAGAGGTCATTTAAGCTCCCCAGAAAAAGCACACCCATTTGCACCACTTAAAGATACCAGCTGGTCTCACTCACCTCACAAGATATCCTAAGGAAATCATCCAGATTTAAGGAAAGGTCACATGCCTCCCAGAAAGGCAGTAAAAAAAAAAAAAAGTGCCAATCTTGCATCCTGCCTCTTGGAAGTACACCCCAAAAGGACAGTTCCAGATAGTACTAAAGCAGTGAGGAACACCCCCTCCCCGGATAGAAAAAAAAACCATGAGGCAGGAAAAAATTCAAACACAATACAAATAATTAAATCACAACAGTAGCTGTTGCTTGTTGAAGCTGAATAGGGAAAATTATCCCATCAATAAACACAGGATTAAATGTCACTAAGCCAGAATTAACCTTCACCAAAAACCAGTTTTAGACCAAAACTCAGAAACGGTATGTAAACTCACGTTTGAACATCAATCTTTCTAGCTAGCCAAGAAGCCTTGCTGAATGTCACTCATCTTGGTTCCCTGTCACTAAAAGCTTTGCTTCATTATTCAATTATTTCTTCATAGTGCTGATTGTCCAGGGAAATATTTCCTCCCAACAGCAGTGTAAAAATCTTAAAACTAAAAATCTTCCCCTTTAAGAAAGCCAAGCCTCAGAAGCTCCGGAGACAGGAAGTCTAGTCGTAGTGGCAAGAATGTAATAAGGGTGGAAAAAAACAAAAGGAGATTGCTTCTAACTACAGGTTCTCCGAACTGCTTAGAAAGTTAACAAGGGGTTCTATAGAACCAGACAGAACTGGTAGAATCCCATCCCTAGAGTCCAGCCTCCTGCACTGACTTTGCTTGTCGGAAGGTTGCAAACAGGAATGCTGCAACTGTCATAAATACATACTGGTTGCCAAGTGCTAAATTTTGATCCCGTGGCCATGAGGACCCAGTGACAATCATAAGTGCGAGGACCGTTCGTCACTTTTTTCATCACCGTCGTAACTTAGAATAGTTGGTAAACACATGGTCCTAAGTCAAGGACTATCTATATGGAAGAGTTTAATAAAGACACCCAAATGAACTTCATCTGTCAGAAAACCTGTACAGCTTTTTCCTTCGAAAAGAAAATGCTGCTCCAAGTCCTTATTTCTCCGGGGCAACAGCGACAGAGACACATTTCGACAATTTTATTGAAATTTCACTGACCGAAAAACATGATCAAGGTAGGTGGAAGCAGCCAAGCCAAAGACTCTGCCCCAAGCTGCACCCAGCAAATGTTGAAGACTCGTCTGACTCTGCATAGAAAAACCAAGTCTTTCTCTCTTGTCCGAGTGCAAAACGGAAGAAACTTCCTTGTGTGCCTCGGTGCCGGAGCAACGGGGGGATGGACTGAACTCCTGCTCACAGTCCAATGGTGTAGGAACGTCCAGTGGTGTTGTGGATGACCGAACACATAGGGGAAACCACAGCCCACTCGTACCACACTTTCTTAGAGTTGTTGCAACGCCAGAAGGCCACTTGGATCTTCTCGCCCGCCTGCACGCTCATGGGTTGCTGTGGGGGGGAAGGGGGACACCATTACTAACAGCAGAATCATTCTAAATATTAACCCCACCCCCCACCCCGAGTCAGTGTTGTGGTTAGCCGGCAGCAGGTGCGGACGGCTGAGGAGAGCGAGGACTCAAGATGAGGGGCCGGGACAATTAGGGAGTGGACTGCTGCCTTCAGAGATTGTGGGGACTGGCAGCAGTGAAGAGGTTTCTGAGGAGCCTGTGCCAAGTGCGCGCGTACGCAGGATTGCTCGCGGGAAAGAGCAGCT